AATTTAATATTGAACATTGATTTTTATATTAAACATTAAATATTGAAATTAAATTGTATATTGAATATTGAACATTTAAGATATTGAAAGTTTTATTTTATTGTAATAAGCATAGGTTTAAAAAAATTCTGGCTCATTTATTTTGTTGCTTTCATATTCCGTTTCTCGTATGAGGGACCCATCATCCCAGAAACCGTGATACCGCCGCTCCATGTCTTCATTTGCTGGTGAAAACGTTCTCGTCGCCCAGATTGTCCAGTTTTTTACGCACTTGTACTCTTTACATCTTTTACTCATTTTATAATTTTTATTAACCAAATAAACAATGATAAAAATACCTTGATAAAATGTCAAAAAATAACAGTAAAATGTCACTATGCCAACACGAGAAACAAAAGAATTCACGTTTTCGGAGTCATGTCAAATTTAAATTTTGAAATGTTTTCGGTAAAAAGTAAGTAAAAAACTCAAAAAATTCCAATCATTCACTTTAATTAGGTTTTTATTAAAGAACAAACTTCGCCATTTATGCATGGGTTTTTATCAAAATCAGATTTTTTTTTGTAAAAATGTTAGCTTTGGGCGATTCCGCGGGAGACGATTTTTGACATACATTTTTAAATCACAGAGTTTATTACTTTTTTTATACCAATACAAAGAGAAAGATATATATTTAATAATAAAAAAACTTTTAAGAACTTAAGTTATTATTTGAATTTTTTGGCGCGCTCAGAAATGGTGGCGCCTGAAGACTTGATGCAAACTATTCATCGACACTTGATAATTTTTCCACGAAATCGCTATTACCGGTGGTTTGAGGTTATATTTCACTGATGAATATTGAAGTCATAACATTTGTTTATTGCCTTATGTAAAAAAATTAAATATTTTTTATTATTTTTCTAACAATATTAATTAAATAAGAAACCATTGTTGGTCAGTTGCACCCGCGATATAAAAGAAATGAAAGTTTGGTTTTCTTGAAGAAATAAATTGGTAATTTTTTGAAACTTTGTAGAAGTAAGAAGAAATAAAAGGAAAACTTGATTCTGTCGCAATAGAACGTAAGTTGTCATTTTAATTAAAATTAACGTTGACTAAAATGAGTTGCACCCGCGATTAAAATATTAGAATCGCGGGTGCAACAGTTATGACTCTTACGATTACATTAGGGAATTTTTAGCGAGTTACCGGTAATCAGGGCCGGATTTAGACGGGGCCCGCGGGGCCACGGCCCTAGGGCCCCCACCATTTAGGGGCCCCCACCAATGCAATATGTAGCTTTTTAATGAAACAAATATGAAAAAAATTGGTTATACCGCGAGAATCCTCTTATTTTCAATTAATTTTTCGTAGACCTAACTCTAATTTTTCGCGGATTTTTTATCGCTTATCCGCTTGCAAATCAGAATGTAAATTATCATACTCAAAGTTTTGTCGCGCTAAGACGTTTTATAAAGTCTATAGTCATAAGTTATGACTCATAACAATTTTAAGCAGTTGCTCGTTTAGTGCTTGTTGTAACGTTTTTGTAAATACAGGCAAAAAGTAAATTATTTATAATCTAATATTAAAGTTAGTTTTTGTCCCAGATTTTTATTGGTACATTGGTGGTGTTTTCAAAATACTGTTTTGTGCATTTCTTTGTTCAAAAGATTGTTTTATTCAATAAAATTTATTGTTTGATTTTGTATGAAAAACAGACAAATAATACGATCTTTGATGCACTTTTTTCAGTTTGCGGTATGTATTAAAAATACAAACAAAACATAGATCAATTTATATTTTACTTGATTAAAATGTATTCGTATTCGTATTATTCAAAATATATAAAATATAAAGTATATAAAAACACTTTCATTCACAATTCTATTCTACTTTCTACGTTTTTATAGTTTTGCATACGAATTTATAATTTATTCAGACTTGGGTAAAATGTATATAAGGTTATGTTCGTATTATTCCAAATATACAGGGTGATTTAGACTTGTGGTGACAAAAGCCCAGGCGAAATTTCTCTCATCAAAATATGAAAAAAGGTTCTTATAAACACGTGTCCGAAAATGCTTCATTATCGAGATACAGGATGTTTCGTTTAAAAAAAATGAGTTTTTTATTTATAGCTTAAAAACGCTAAATGATTCAAGGATAATAAAAAATCACATAAAGTTCAGCTAGCTTAAAAATTTACCGAGTTTTAATTTCCCAAGTGTCAAAATTTTTTAAAATATTGAGGGGCCCCCACCAAATGTCGGCCCCAGGGCCCTAAAACTTCTAATCCGGCCCTGCCGGTAATAAAAAGTTAAAACCATTCTATTTTAGCGAGTAACCGGTAACTGCATAAAATGTCAAATCAGTAACCGCGGTTAATAATTGAGCTCGGAAAGCAATTGTTAACAACGCTGAAGAATTTTATGATCTGGCTCGTCGCCTTTCTCTAAAAATTTCTTTTATATTTGTATCCCAAAAACAAATTAAAGAATGAAAAACCATGTTAAATGATAGGTGGAAAAGACTAAAAAATATACCAGCCAATCAAAACATTTTTTTCAATTTGAGGAGGGTAAGAGCATTTGTGTTGCACGAACGTCGAAGTCTAATTTGAAAAGCAAATTAGTTTTGACAACTGCTACTAAAAAAAAACGTAGAAAAGTTACAAAAAAAGTTACGCAAAAGTTAGGCGTTTCTGATGTTTACAGCGATTCTGAAGAAAACCTTAAGGCTGATAAATCGCCGACTATTCCAAACAAATAATTTATTAAAGTTACATAGGAAAGTGCTAATTAGTGATAATACAGCATCTATGATCTCATATCTTTAATTTAAAGTTACATGGAAATGTTTATATTCACTACAGTGAGACGTGTTGCACCCGCGATAATTTTATGTTGCACCCGCGACTGGATAAAAAGTGAATAATTTATAATATTTATTTATTTTAATAATTTTATTTAAGTTAATAGTTAGTTTGTTTTGTATTCTTTTAGAGAATGTAAAAATAATTTAATAAATATTCCATAATTAACAGACTTTTTTCATTCTAGCTTCATGAACTTTAATGGTGGGCAGATTTCGTTGCACCCGCGATAGCACTTTGAACCTCTCCTGTGTCTATTTATACATTTTATTAAATGTTTTTTATATTAATTTTTGTAAAACAGATTATAATGAAATCCTGCGACCAGTCATTTCTTTAAAAAGAGTTTTTATTTTCTTAGTAAGAAGCCTTAAGTGAGTCTAAATGTTGCACCCGCGAGTACGGAATCGCCCCTTTACGAAAAAAAATTAAAACTAGAGTTATCTGTTTGATTTAAACCTTTCCCAAGGACAATATGTAAGTTTTTGACCTAAATTTTTGCCAAAAAAAAACGAAGGGTAACAAAATCACTAGCGTCAAAATACTTTTCCAATATCAAAAGTATGTAGGCGAAGCTTATGCAGTTTCTCTATATATTCTTGGCTTGCTGGCGGCGGGGAAATCGCGAATTTTAACAGGAAAACGCGCACATATTTAGTGTGCTTCAAAACCAGTTTGCCACGGTTTGACTTGTTTTAATTTCGTAATTCGTGGAGCGTTCCTAAGTTTAACGATTATATAAAGGCTTTTATTAATAGTTCTCTATTGCATTAATATTTTATTATTTATTTTATTATTTTAAAAAATCTAGAATTATTAACCTTTTCCAAGAGTGTAAGGATGTAGCTCAGACATTCCTATTGTATTTTCAAGCCATATATACTCGTAGAAGCGCTGGCAATAAACGTATGTCGAAAAATCTGTTTTTTACATTTTACATCGATGACTTAAGGCCCTTACGGTAAGGGCCTATTAAAAAAAATAAATTATATTATAACAATTAAAAAAATGTAAAAGTCTTATTTTTTCTACTCCCCCTTTAAAACGCCCTTTATCTTACATGTTTCCATGGCACTACTTTACCACTGACTTTTTATTTTCGCCGGCAGTAAACTTAAACTTAAATTCAGGCACGGACTCCACTGTATAGTCCTCATAAAACATTTTCATTACTTTCACTGTGAAAAACTGACAATTTTCAAGAAATACATTTCGTTTTATAACCTTTATAATCTATGTTTATAAAAATGTGACATTTAACGGTGACACACAGATTCCTTTATTGTTTCATAGATGGCGCTCTATACAAATTTTTGATTTAAATAATTTTAGTATTTTTCGTAGAAAACGTATAGTATGCACCTCGTTTATAAACTTTTCTATACACTCATTAATTTAAGCACTCGCTCGCAAGCTCGCTCGTGCCTAAATTAAATTCGTGAGTTACATCCTGCGAAGTTGCTGACCTATTAATAATATAATCTTATCTGCTGACATGTGTTTTTCAAAGAACATAATTTTGCTTTGTTTTATATTCATTCTAGATTTACTTAGCCTTGTGTAAACTAGTCTCGTAAGCTTGTTATTTGTAATTTTTAAATTAAATTTAAAAATAAAATTTTTTAAAAAGTTATTTAACAAATCAAGTTATTTAATTGGCGCAGTCGGTAGGATAAACGGGACGTTTTTCTGTGAAAATTTCTGGAACTTTTCGAAATTTTAGTGAAAACGGTATATATCAATATTCAGCCCGTTTTGAACTTTTAAAAATTAAGACATTCAGTGAGTGAGCGTATCGAACGAACATTCAGTGACACGACGAGAAGCAGAGGACAAAATCGCCGAAACTTCGACAACCTAGTTTAAGAGGGAAGCAGAGGACCAAAATCGCCGAAACTTTCCACCACTTGTTGCAAAAGAAAGCCATATGAACAAAACGATATTGCTGTAAGTAATTTCTCATTCCTTATAATTTTCCTATACAATTTTAATGACCAGTGATTCAGAATTGGAAGATTTGTTTAAAAATTTAGGTAATTTAAATTTAAATTATACACAGCAACCCTTTCGTGATAGAAGTCCTATCAGAAAACAATTAAATTTAGAATCGAACGTAGAAATTAACATAAATAATTCTCTAACGATGACTGAACCAAAAAATTTTCATATTAACGCGATCCCCGTATTTAACGGTGATCAATCCACCTTAGCTTTATTTATTTCTGCCAGCGAAAGCTTTATAGATACTTTTACCAATAAAGAAAACCCAAGAGACGTAAAAAATGAATGGATATTGCGTTTGATTGTGTCTAAATTAGAAGGTAGGGCTAAAACCCTTATTAGCAGCCGCGAAGACGCAAATAGTTGGAACAATATTAAAAAATTCCTTTTGCAATACTTCTCTGATCAAAGAAATGAAGATTGCCTAGTCCGAGACCTTATGTCTCTGAAACCCGAACCGCGAGAAACCCCTTATCAATTCGGTATGCGTATACAAGATTGCCGTAGTTTGTTACAAACTAAATTAAGACTTACTATAGACGACGAAAATGCACGCACATGCAAAAATGCTATCTACGACAATCTCGCTTTACAAACTTATTTACACGGCCTACCCGGACAATTAGGTATGTCCATTCGCCTCCAAAAACCCGAACACTTGGAAAAAGCCATGAGCTTGGTTTTGGAAGAGGAAAATTTTAATTACGCCGACAAACACTACAGACAACAAAGTTCTAATCCAAACACACACAAAAATAATTCAAAACCTCAATTTAACCCTCAGAACCGACAATATCCGATGCAAACACATAATCCACCATTTAGACCTACTTTCCATACACAAAATAATTTTCAAAATTACCCCAAACAACAATTTTTCGAACCTCAAACAAGACCCAATAATCAATTTATTAGACCCCAACAAAACTATTTTAATCCCCCAAATTATTTTCAACAGAACCAAAATTCACAACAAAACCGCTTTTCAAATAGAAACTCCTTCCAAAATAAATCTGCACAAAATGTTTTTGCACCCAATCCAAATTTTAGGCCGACTTATAAGTCGACACCAATGGAAACTTCCACTCGTAACATGAGCCGTATTACAAACAATTTACACCACTACGAAATCCAAGACAATATTCAATCCAACGATTTTTACCCTAATTTTGAGCAAAATAACGAACAAAACTACTCTAATGACGACTCAAATAATATTGAAGAAGCAGCAGGCTATGCCTATGCCGATTCAACCCATTACGACACTTCAGTAACTGAAGAAACACCGGTAGAGGAAAATTTTCAGTTGGACCTGAATTTAACCAATCAACCCTAGTAATAAATTTTGAAAAAAACCCTAAATTGCCATATATAGTTATTCCAAATGTTAACCTAAAGTTTATGATAGATACGGGTTCAATGAGATCCTTTATTAATAATAATGTAGTAAAACAATTTTATTCCAAATTTATTCAATACGAACGTTTTCAAATTCAGTCTGTTCATCAAATAAGTTATCATGATACTGTAGTAAATATACCATTACCTAGAATTTTTAATGTCAACAACTTTAAACATAAATTTTACGTATTCGACGTCAATCCACAGTGCGATGGTTTAATCGGCTTGGATTTACTAAAAGAACTAAAAGCAACTTTAGATTTTAATAAAAATTTACTTATAACATCAAATACAACGATTCCACTTATTTTGGCTGGTAATAAAGATCCAATAATCGCTCAAACAAACTGTTTTAAAAACTTCGAACTTAGAGTAGAACCCCGTATAGAAAAATTTATAAAAATTCCTGTTAAAGCAAGTACCCACCTTGGCATAATAGATAAGACTACTTTAATACCAGGTGTCGAAATTCCTTCGTCAATAGTAAAAGTTATTAATGGATATGCCTACACATCAATTACAAATATTAACGATGAACCCTGCAAAATAACAATAACCGAACCCTTAAATATTGAACCTATAAATGAACTCGCTTGCAATAATTTAATGTACCCGAACAATCACGAACCCCTCGTATACGATGCAGATATCGAGTTACTACAACGACAAAATTTAAACAATATTCGTACACAACATATGAACGCCGAAGAAGTTCAGGCTATTCAGCAACTTTGTTCTAAATATAAAGATATTTTTTATTGTGAGGGTATACCCCTTACATTTACAAACAAGGTAAAACATAAAATAAGATTATCAGATGATAATCCAATTTTCATAAAATCATATCGCCTACCTCAAGTACATCAACAAGAGGTACGCAAACAAATTAAATCCCTACTCGAACAAGACATTATACAACCCTCTTCATCTCCATATAGTTTTCCTGTGCTAGTTGTACCCAAGAAAATGGATGCAAGTGGCACGAGAAAATGGCGAATGGTCATTGACTATCGTCGTTTAAATGACAAAACAATCGAAGACAAGTACCCATTGCCCAATATAACCGATATATTGGATAAATTGGGGAAGAGCCAATATTTCACGACTTTGGACTTAGCCTCTGGTTATCACCAAGTTGAAATTGCACCGGAAGACATAGAAAAAACCGCCTTTAGTACCGAAAATGCGCATTTCGAATTTAAAAGAATGCCATTTGGACTTAAGAGCGCTCCGGCGACGTTTCAACGCGTTATGGATAATATCCTTAGAGGTATACAGAATGAAAAATGTTTTGTGTACCTGGACGATATAATTATATTCTCCACGTCACTACAAGAACACACAGAACGTTTACGCGAAGTATTCGAACGTTTAAGAAATGCGAACCTTAAATTACAACTAGATAAGTGCGAATCCCTTCAAAAGGAAGTAAATTATCTAGGTCATGTCATTACACCCAAAGGTGTAAAACCTAACCCCGATAAAGTAAAAGCAGTTTTAGACTACCCTGTACCTAAAACTCGCAAAGAAATCAAAGGATTTTTAGGACTTATTGGTTATTACCGCAAGTTTATACGCGATTTTGCCAAATTAACAAAACCAATGACAATGTGCCTTAAAAAGAACGCCAAAATCGAACATTCTGACGAGTTTCTTAAAGGACATTTGACAAATGCAAGCACCTTTTGACTAACGACCCTATTCTACAATACCCGGATTATGAAAAACCATTCATTCTTACCACCGATGCATCAAATGTGGCACTAGGAGCAGTCCTATCACAAGGACAAATAGGGAGTGATAGACCAATTAGTTACGCATCAAGAACCCTTAACGAAACCGAGCAACGATACTCGACCATCGAGAAAGAACTACTAGCAATAGTATGGGCTGTAAAATATTTCAGACCCTATTTATTTGGACGAAAATTTTATATCTACACCATCATAGACCCCTTGTTTGGCTTATGAAATTAAAAGAACCCAACTCGAAACTCACTCGTTGGAGGTTAAAATTAGAGGAGTTTGATTATGAAATAATATACAAAAAGGGCAAACATAACACCAATGCAGATGCTCTATCGAGGATACAAATAAACGTACTAACTAGACAGCAAAAACGAGTAAATGAAGATACCGAATCAATAATTCCCAACTTAGATGAGTTAGAAAACTTGTTAAGTGACTTAGATGCACCTAGAGAATTAAATACACCCCCACCGGAACAAGTAGAACAAAATCTTAGACCCCCACCTGCTACAGCCGAACTAACAGAGACTTTAGAAGAAATATTTGAACCAATACCACAAAATCAAAACGAAGATACCCTATCTGACAGTATTCACTTCAACGAAAATGTCGAACCAAGGAACGGTATTCCCATTTCTGATGATGCCATTGAATCGAAGCCCAACCAATATTTTATTACACCTGTCTCGATGAACCCAAGAAAAGTCAAACACATTAAAATAGGAAAACAAAACAAATTTTTTGTTCAAATTTCTCGAAATAACAACGAACAAGAAATAATAGAATTTCTTAAAAACTACACTGCTAGTAATAAAACGTATTTCTTTAACTTTGACACCGAAAAACTTTATAAAGACTTTAGTGCAGTATATATCAAAATATTTAATGATAATGCCCCAAAAATTATAAGTTGTCCTAAACACAGAACTCCATTAATTGATAATGAAGAAATCGAAAACGTAATTGATAACTACCACAAAGGAAAAACCAACCATAGAGGCATTAATGAGACATTAAAACAACTGTCTAGAAAATACTATTTTTCTAAAATGAAAGACAAAATTACAACATTCATAAATAATTGCGACGAATGTCAAAGAGCAAAATATGACAGACGACCCCCAAAAATACCCATTATGTTAACAGAGACCCCCAGTAGACCCTTACAAATTGTACATGCCGATACCTTTACCATTGAACAACAAAATTACGTAACCATCGTGGATGCATTTTCAAAATTAGGACAAGCCATCCCAATAACATCCAAAAACGCAATAGAAACAGTCGATGCATTTTTAAACTATTTTAAATTTTATGGTTTACCAGAAACCATTATTACAGATAGTGGTAAAGAATTTTATACAGACACTGTAAAACAACTTTTAGAGTTACACAAAATTAATGTACATTTTACCACCCCTTATAATCCAGCTTCAAACGGTGTCGTAGAGCGCTTCCATTCGACAATTTTGGAACATATTAGACTAATGCGAAACGAATTTGAAAAGGACCCTATTAAATGGTTAGTCGATTATGCAGTTATTGCATATAACAACACGATACATTCTACAACCAATTTTACCCCCATAGAACTGACGCTGGGACATGCACAAAACAAAAATGTATATGACTTGGAAGACCAACAACAAATGCTTCAAGAGTACATCGAAAACCACAAAGAAAAGGTTTACAAAACATATGAAAAGGTGAAAGAAGAAATTGAAAAGCATAAATTAAGAACACAAGGAAACCGAAACAAAAACGCCGATTCGGAACAGTTTAAAAACGCTACACAAGTTTATTCGAAACTTGACCAACGTGGCAAAACCACACAAAGATACGAGGGTCCATTAGAAATAATTAATATTAATGACAAAAATGTTGCTACATGTTCTAAAGGTCAAAAAATTAAAAAGGTGCATCTTCGAAATTTAAAACACCCTGTATTTGTTACAGATGGCTCGTCATCCTCACTTCCGCCAACGGGGACGAAATCAACCTAAAAGAAATAAAAATAAAAGAAATAAAAAACAACCCTGGCATACTACCCATTAAATTAGGTAATGCGCAAAACGCCATAAATTATTGGAGTTTTATAAAAATAATTGATCTTAGTTTAGTTATACGTAGTCATAATTGCTTTTATAGTCAAATGCTTAAAATAATGAATATATGGCAAACCCAAAAAACTTCAGATACTTATCAAATCGAAGTTCAAAATTTTCAAAATTTATTAAATTACCAATTAAGTGAAATTAACAAAAATCTTAATCAGCTAATTCCGTCACCACAATCAAGAAATAAAAGAGGTATTATAAATGGGTTAGGAACTATTATTAAATCAGTTACAGGAAATTTAGACCAGGAAGACGCAAAGAAATATGACAACATAATTTCAAAAATAATTAATACACAAAATACAATTAAAATCTTAACCGAAAATCAAATTTCCATTACTAAAAATGCAATAAATAAATTTGAAAATAATTTAAATAAAATTTTAGAAAATCAAAATAAACTAGAAAAAAGAATTAATAACATTTCCTTAAACATCGAAGAAACTAATTTTGAGTTAAACGACTTTAAAAAAGCCTCCTTAATTCAAAACTTATACATTCAATTAATTAATGCTGCTGCTAACATAAAAAATATTTTGGATACTCTAACAAACGCAATAACATTTGCAAAATTAAGTATTTATCACCCTTCAATTCTAGAAACTCAAGAACTTTTTAACGAATTAGTTACCGTTACAGAATTACCTCAAAACCCCCAGTTACCATATAAAGTCAACTCTGATACGATCAATATTTACGAAAGAATTGCTGTAGTAAAAAGTTACATAAAAAATGAAAAAATATATTTTATAATTGAAATTCCAATTGTTGAAAAACTTCCATACTCATATTTCCACCTTTATTCAATTCCGGTAAAAACAATCCACTCTTATAATATTATAATCCCACAAACTAAGTACCTTGCCCTTAATGAGAAATTCTACACTTTATCTAACGAACGTTGTAAACAAGTGGCCAACATGGAATTTTTATGTAATGCTCAGCAATCCCATAAGATATCACAGAATAGTCCGTGTGAAGTGCAACTGCTGCAATTTACAAATTCTTATAAAAAATGTGCCCAAAAACAAGTAGAAATACAAAACCCAAAATTTGAAAAATTAAAAGAAAACCGATGGCTTATAATTCTTCCAAATGAAACAGTTATAACTTCGGAGTGTCCAACATCAAAAGAAAAAATATCTCTCATTGGAAATTTTGTAATGGAAATCCCAGAAACCTGTCAAGTCCACATCGAAGAAAAAATACTTAAAACCTACCAAAATCCAGTTAAAAATACCGAAATTATAAAAATACCAAATATTGAAATTCCTGTCCTGCAAAAACCAGTCAACAGTAGACAAAAACCTTTGAAACTTGAAACCGTTCAGCTAGATGAAATCCATCCGTTGATAAAACAATTAGAAAATACCGAAGAAATGATCAGAGAAAATAATATTCCGAATTTTAATGAAAAACCCAACTTATGGACAATTTTCCTGTACGCCATTATTGCTTTTGGTTTGGCAATTATAATATTTAAACACCGATCAAAACTAACCCCAAAGAAAAAGACGTCAACCCCTGAAAAGGAACCAGAAGAAGAAGAAATCCAACTTAGAAATTTTAGGAAACCGTAAAATTTCCACTTAAGGATGGAGGAGTTACATCCTGCGAAGTTGCTGACCTATTAATAATATAATCTTATCTGCTGACATGTGTTTTTCAAAGAACATAATTTTGTTTTGTTTTATATTCATTCTAGATTTACTTAGCCTTGTGTAAACTAGTCTCGTAAGCTTGTTATTTGTAATTTTTAAATTAAATTTAAAAATAAAATTTTTTAAAAAGTTATTTAACAAATCAAGTTATTTAATTCGTGTATAAAATGGCGTTTATCAAACTTGATACATAATATACTATAACCGTAGTATTTTATAGTAATGTTATACTACTAATAATACTCTTTCTCAGCTACTCTTAGATCTTAAAAAAACTAAAAAAAACCACTCTAACGTAACCAAGAACATCAGCTACTCTTAGATCTTAAAAAAACTAAAAAAAACCACTCTAACGTAACCAAGAACATCGTCGGCGATCATTATTAAACTTACATACCGGGTGTGCGTTTGCCGCGTTCGTAAATATCCCATTCAAGCCTGATTAGCATACATATGAGCATACTTAAGAGTGTAGGGTAAGACACAAAACACAACAGCAAACAGAAGTTATATGCAATCGCTTGAATATTCTAAGATTGTATATTCAACGACATAATGTAATTGTAATTAAAACGAATAAGTGCCGCTTTGTCCCGAGATGATTTCGGCTGTGTGATTGTGTCGGTTTGCTCGAGTGGCAATTTCGGGATGTGCACTATTTATACGGTAAAGATTAAATATTTATCTAATAGTTCTGACGGGCTCCTTTATTGGCAAGGGTTGTTTTCTTAGGAGCACATCCAGCAATTTAAAGGAAACAACAGCCTAATTTACTAAACACACTTTTGTTAATTAAATTATAGCATTTTCTCGAAAAGAAAAGAATATTTAAAGTTTGGAGATTTAGATTTAAACCAAATTTTGCATTAATGTATTGTGATTTATTTGTGACGTATACATACGTTTGGTTCGCCAAATTTTATTTTGTTTTTTTTATTTTTTTATTAAACAATCTCTTCGTAGAAATGGAAATAATCTTGACCTAGAGTGTATCGATTTTTTAACACATACTTCCTCTGCTTATTCACTATATTTTGTATAAATGGCCTTGTTCCTTTTTTGAGGGAAAATTTGTCGATTGGCCGTATAATTTTACCTTTTGCGCATCAGTTCATAAGGGGGGATTTAAAATATATGATATTATAGACATATTAATACATCCACGTATGATACGAATTGTCAACTGAACACATTTAGGTTATATCAAATTGTTCTAAATCATTTGCTTACATCGTCTGGGTTAAGCTTACAGAAATTTCTGTGGTTTGGCTCTCCTAAACACAATGGAAAAAAAACAATGCCAAAGCAATTTGCATACAACAGAAAACAAACAAAATTGTTAATTAGTATAACGATCTACATATAAATATGTCTATGATAAATACTTTTTGGCTATCATGGTATAAATACGACGTTGCCAAAATCCTGCGGTTATAAACATGCCATACAACTTAAAATATCATCATTTTGTGTGTTTATTGTTAAGGCTTGGTGAATTTCGGAATTTAGAGTATTTAGTATTGCAAATAGCCTTGTGCAAATATTATTCAAATACTTATCCGAATTTCGCAGATACCCCTTGTTTCCTCGTTATGAATCTCTTTTAGTTTCCCGCCACAATGAACCACCTGTTCAGGTAGGTGGCAGAGGTGACACTATGCACTTTGCACTTAAGTCCTGGTCAGTAAACATAACCTTTTATTTATTCTGGATGCACTGTATATTCTGTATCGTTTGTGAAGCGATAGAGATATACGTCTGTCGGGTAAAAGTGATACTGATTGTTAAAAGTTTTTTGAAAAAAAAATGGAAATGCTCAAGAAATGTTTATTAAATGTCCTAAACTATCCTTACTGTTTTTGATACTTAATATACTATAAGTTTACCGATATTGTTATTTTTATTTAACTTATTAAAAGTTTTTTCCATCCGAGTAATCTCTAAAAGAAGGCGTGAGGTCCTTTGAGGATATAAGAATAAACTTTTATATACTCCGCTACTATGTAAATAGGTACCATTTAAATATTTATTAGTAAGCAGATATTTTACAAATAACATTCCTTAAAATGTTTAATCAATAAAATTCATAAAATAGTTTTAGTACCAATAATAAATTTCTTTCAGAATGTACTCCCCTACACTTTTGGAACTTGCAGTATAAATTATGTTTAACTACTTTATATTTCAAAGGGTCGAATTGTCATAAAATTGGACCGACAACTTTTGCACAGCCATTTTATTAAAGTATCTAGTGTATATCAATACAAGTAAATAACTAAAAAGCTAGTTTGTATAGTTTTCTTGATTGAAAAAATATATTTTTTTAAGCGTACAATAATTTTCCCATTATATGATGATTATATGATAGTCTATATATAAAGACTTTAAATTATTATTAAATCTCATACAGAAATAAAGCTAAAATGTCATCAGTTGGATCTTAAAAAAATATTTAATTAATTGCTTTAAAAAAATGGTATATAAAACACGGCGGCGAAAGCTTATTAATTGCCTCTCACAAAATCTATTGCCTTGGTTATCGCTTCGGCGATAATATGTGCTTAATCCTGTTCTATAATGTACCATTTTTAGACTTTCAAAGTGTAAAATTTTAAAACTTTTCTTAATTTATTGTTTTAAATAAAAGTTTTAATATAAAACTTGTATACGTAAATATAGAGTACACTATAATCAAAGAACATTGGAAGGAGTTAACACTGCGGTAAAATTAAGAAAAAGCAGCGAAACAGCTACATTTACACCAATCTAAACAGGTAGTTGGCAAACTGTAGTAAAAACCCAAAAGACAAATACGTTCATGCATGAGGATTTTTCACAGACGCGACGAGCTCGAAAAAGTCAAAACTTACGAAACGACATCCGGTCTAGATGTAACTTAACGATCATTATTATTGAAGACGGTTTTTGCAGCTTTATCTGCGGGTTAGAAAAACAACACAAAAATGTAACTTCGCCTTTTGTATGCTTTCGGTTTAGTTTTCGCTTTAAGGTTATGTTTTAATGTTTTAGTGAAAACCTGCAACTTTATCTAATTCTCTCAAAAGCTGAAATTATATTAAAGAATATTCTTTTAAACAATTTAAGAAAATGTTTTTTACTTGAATTATTATTATTTGTGCTAAAACGTAGAGTTTGGAAAATATTTTTTAATTTATTTTATTTTATTCTCTTTAAGGGTATCTTTATCTCATTATGAAATTTTAGACAATAGAAATTTGATAAATGACGATATTCTGTCAATATCAACTATTGCCTTAGACATCTGACATATCTAATATGTCATCTGAACATAGAAAATTTTTAAACTTTGAAATTTTGAAGTTAAAATTAGTAAACATGTACGATAGTGAATGTTAAATTTTAATTATTTTTTTTGTGTAATAAAAACTAAATTTTACGAACTTTAAGTCCTAGCTGATAATATAATATTGGTAATATTCTTACAATTTTTTTAAATACAATATTATTCACGATAAGGAAATATTAAAAAAAATCTGGGCTGTAGTACAGAAAATTATTGCGAAGGGTAAACCACTCTAATATCTTCGGTTACTGCAAAAACCACGTAACTCCCAAAAAACTGTTTTGAGTAATTTTAATTGGTACCGTTTAGCGTTACACTGATATTTTTTTTTGATTTTTTCTTATTTTATGCCTATGTAGCGTTCAACCTTTATTAATAAGCAAAAATCCGTATCGTTAAGAAAATATCCTTATTAATAAGAAACAGTGGCGGATGGTCAGGTATGGCAGGTACACAGTAAAAAAATATTTTAGTGTTCTCTCAGGTGAAAGTTGTAGAGTGAAAAAGTTAGTGTAAAACATCACACTATTTTCAAAATCAAAATCTGTTCTACTTTTCTAACTTTTGACGACATTTTCGGATTTTACATGGAAATTGACTGCTAAATGTTCGGGATACAAATTGCTGTTGACGAGAATTATAAGTGGCTGCTTTTACGCTATGACAATTAGTCACTTTTGACTAATTAATTTTTGGAGAGTAAACAAATAGAATTTTTTTTTAAATTTGCTAATAGTTTTATGATTTTTAATTTAAAGCAATTTAAATGAGTTTAAAAAAGTGTAAACCGTCATTAGGCGTATCAAATTAAACTAAATTACTTTTTTGTTACCAGATAAAATAGAATAATAGAACATCGCGTAATTAGTGTATGTTTCATTAATGCAGCACATGATTATCCAAGGGCAAAATTAATAATTAATGTTATGGATGGAATAGTGTGTAATTAAACTGATAATTAAAATTTCTATATATATATTATAACGTGGAACAAGGGATTCCGTACGCTGAAAGGCAAGAATTGGAAATTAGGGCCGAGGAAATTTAACACGAAATTGTCACCAAGTGAATAACTTTGTTGGTATGTATGTAGTTTTATTAGGGTTCCCTATGCTCTCACACTAATTAAATTAAATTTATTAACGAAAATGACTAATTATTTTTGAATTATCAATACGCAATTAGATATTTTATTTCTCCCTTCTTAGTAAATGACATTTTATAGGTTAATTTTGTTGTTTTTGTATCCAAGTAACGATACATTATGGGAACAGACCTGTAATATTTTACAGGCTTGTATAAAAGACCTGTAAAGTTTAACAGGCTTGTAGAAAAGCAATTTATGAAATGAAATGACACATTTGACACATTAATTAAAATTTTAAATTTGAAAATCGTTATCTTAAGGTAAAAATAAAAGTTTGTACGTGTCACGCTTTGCAATTAATCTTTACTAGGCTCATTGAAATATGGAGTTCGCTCCTGCGTCGCTCACCCCACAAACTTCCAGCTCGCCCGTAAAGATTCATTTACAAAGCTTGACACGTAAATAACTATTACGAGAAATCAACAAAACATTTTTTATAAAATCAAG